AGGGAAAATGTAGCAATTTTGAAATATGCCCAGAACATTCTGCTCTTTTTTACAAAGTCTGTTTTCAAGAGAAATTATTTTTCCAGAGCCTAGCCAGCCAGCATTTTATCAGAGCTTGAATGAAAATTCCTACCTCTAGCCCATTCTAGCTCTCCCTGTGGGGGAAAAGAAATACCCAACTCCAACCCTTACTAAGGGCTATCTCACCTAAGGGTGAAAAGAAAACAAAACAATACTGAAAGAGCACTTATAAAGGTCACAGCCAGAAGCACAGGTTCACTAAAGGACTGAAACCTAATCACACAACTGTAGAATGCTTTCTCTCCCCCTACAGGTTACTATGATATCAACAGAGCATATTTTTCTTAGTTCTTTTCACTCAGTGCATCATGTCCAGCTTTCAGCAAAGAATTACAAGGCATACTAAAAGACAAAAAGTTTGAAAGGACAGACTAAGCATCAGAATCAGAGTCAGATATGGTAGAGTTGTTGGAATTTACAGACCAGAAAATTTTAAAATCTATGCTTGACATGCTAAGGGTTTTATTGGAAAAAGTAGCCAATATGCAACAACATATGGGTAATGTAAGCAGAGAGATGGAAAGCCAATATTGTTAGGATATCAAAAAGAATTCAAAGGAAATGCTAGAAATCAACAACACTGTAATGGAAGTGAAGAATGCTTTTGATGGGATCATCAATAGACTAGACATGGCCAAGAGGCGGTGGGATCAACGAGTTTGAAGAAATGACAACAGGATCTTCCAAAATCGAACTGCAAAGAGAAAGCAAGAATGTAAAAGGGCATAATATCCAAGAATTGTGAGACAATTTAAAGTTGTAATATATGTATACTGAGAATAGAAGAAGAAAGACAAAAAGAAAGAAGAAGAAATATTTGAAGTAATAATGATTGCAAATTTTCCAAAATTAATGACAGATACCAAACTGTAGATCCAGAAGCTCAGAGGACACCAAAAAGGATAAATATAAAACAAATTAACCTAGGCATAGCATCCTCAAACTGCAGAAAATCAAGGACAAAGAAAAAAACTCTTGAAAGAAGCCAAAGGAAAAACACCTTACCTGTAGAGGAGCAAGGATAAGAATTACATCAGAGCTCTCTTCAGGAACCATGCAAGCAAGAGAGAGTGGAGTGAAATAGTATTGAAAGAAAAAAACAACCAAACGATACAAGGATTTGGTATCTAGCACAGTTATTCTTCAAAAGTGAAGGAGAAATAAAGACTTTCTCAGAGAAACAAATATTGGGAAATTTATTGCCAGTAGACCTGCCTTTTTAGAACTGCTGAAAGAAATTCTTTTTAGAACTGCTGAAAGAATAATGCTATAGGTCACAAATGTAGAACTACGTAAAGAAGGAAAAAATGAAAGGAAAATAAGATCTTATATTTTTCTTTTTAAATTGATTTAGATAACAGTTTGTTCAAAGTAATAATAGCAACAATATACTTAGTTTATACTTAGTAGACAAGTAAGTGAAATGAATGACAACAGTGTTATGAAGGATAGCAGGGAGTAATTGAGTAACTCTTTTAAGAGGTTATTGTACTACCAGTGAAATGCTACAGTGTTATTTGAAATAAGTCTTGGATTAGTTGTAAATATATATTGTAAATTCAAGGGCAACCCTAAAAAAAAGTCAAAAAAGAAGTATAACTGATATTGGTAATTGATATTTAGAGTTGATATGCTAATGAGAGAAAAAGAAAGATAATAAGCAAATAAATAAGTAAAATGTGTAGTATTTTGAATGGTGATATTGCTATGGAAAAAAAATAAGGCTATGTGTATATTTTGTTTGGGCCTTTATTCAATCATTTCAACTGTACCAAGAGATCTCTGAGACAAGTGGGAAATTAGAATATGGATTGATAATCCATGAAACTGTTAAACTTGTTAGATTTGATTATGGCATTATGGCTGTGTTTCCAAAAAAATAAAAGTTCTTATCATTTAAAAATGTAGGATAATGTATTTATGGATAGGATAAGATAAGATTGTAAAAATATTGATGATCCTTGTTGGAAGATAGGGTACGGTTTTTATACTTTCTTTTTCTAATTTTGTGTATGTTTGAAAATTCCCATAACACCAAGTTTTTTTTGTTTTTGTTCTTAGGAATGCGATGGTTGTGCAAGGGGTGTTTCAAGACTAATAGATCACTCAGAAAGTGTCATTGGAGCAAAGATTTGAAAGAGGTAAGGAGGGAGTTGTGTGGATCTCTGGGTAGAGAGATGTAGGCAGAATTAGCTAGTGCAGAACCCTTAAATGGGAGCATGGGAATGGAGGAATGTACTCCAAAGAAAGCTGGGCAAAGCTGAAAATAAGAAACTAAAATATGATGAAAGTTGGTTTGCACTCTGATTTATAGATATTAATAATGTGCCTTATTGTGTCTTATGCAACAGAATATATTCTTACTCTTAATTGACCCAATAGATAACAGTTCATTCAGAATAATAGTAACGATGTATTTGCATAGTATCTTGGTGCCAGTTAAGTTGTGACATCATTTTGAGATGAATTATTCAGGTTTTTTCTTTTAAAAAGGAATTGAATTTTTAAATTGTAGACAACTTCTTTAAAAGCCAAAATTTTTTGCAACTTCCCCCCCCCCATTTATCCACATGTATCACTTTTATGAAGTGAGAGCTTCCTTTAGTAAAAGGATATATTTAATTTCTCAAAGTTCCATAACAAATTAGAGTTGGGTTGCAGATTATGTTAATCACTAAGGGAGCAGCAACTTTTCAAATTAGAAATGAAAAGGCCACTGAAACATCCTACAGGTTTTTATTTCTGATAAGTTAAATGTAGATAGCAGCCCCCCCCCCACCTCCCTCCCTCACCCCTGCCACACACACACACACACAAAGTGCTTTTAGGTCCTCAATAATTTTTTAAAAGAGTAAAGCATTCATAAGCCAAAAAGTTAACACAGCACTGGATTATCCCCAGCTGTAAGCAGTCTCTTGATGTGATTTCATAAGGACCCATTGCTGTGGAGTTTCAAGCACATATATAAGCACTTGGCTGGGCCTAGGTTTGTGATCTTTCTAGTCCAAGAAGATGGTTTTCAGTGTCTTGAGGAACTTTGATGAAAATTAGCTTTCTTACCATTGTGGATTTTT